GGGCACAAACAGAACTGTCTTTAAGCTTTTTTTGGGTTGTTTTGATGGATTTTTAATGATTAGTTTTGGATCTGTTTGGTTAAGGCAGGCACGATGTTTTATTTATTTCTGTTTATAGCTTCACATGCCAAATTTGTCGTTTAAAAATGGCAAAAAGAAATTATAGGCTAAAAAGGGGGTGTGGTTGAAGTGCAGAAGGACACGTGGGCTCTGTGCTAGCTTGAAGCTTCAGGATGCTCAGACCATGGAGTGTGAATGTATTTAAATGTCTGCATTTATTATGGATCATTTTCCAAACCCCACTTTGCTTTCAAGGGAGAGTGGAACAAAGCAGTATTACAGATTCAAAACAAAACCACACCAGCAAGCAAACAAAAGCCCAAATAAAAGAGAAGGTGTGATTATTTGAATATATTTACTGAGAACATTTCTGTTATTTTTTGTCTGTTTGGTTTTGAGCTGTGTGTGAGAGCTCAGAGAAGCATGCAGCTCCTCAGCTCAACCCTCCCATGGCAAGAAAATTAAATCTCTTTAAAAAATTCTTAATTTATTTAAAATTTCACCCCCCAGCCCTGAGCAGCCAGGTCAGGCACGTGGCCAGATGCAGGCTCTGTGCTCCAGAGGCTGCACTGCCCGTGGTGCTGGGTCCCTCCTTCCTCACTGGGCACACACAGCTCCTTCCTGCCCTTAATCGAGCAGAAAACGATCCCAGGAGGAAACCACATGCCAAAAGGACTGAAGCCTCTGCGTGGCTTGTGATATTACCCAAATGCCCTCGATATTCCTGTGGTTTGAGCACGCTTCTGCTTGCTCAGTGTACAAAATCCTGCGTTGGAAACGGAAGCTCCGTGTACAAAGCCTCGGGTTCCTTCTCTGGTGTAAATTTGCAGCCGACCTTCCCGTGGGGTGGGGAGAACCCTGTAAATACTCACCTGTGGCCAATGCAAGTCTGGGAACCAAGGGTTCATTTTTCTAATTCCTCAGCCTCAGTTATGATACTAATGTAAAAACAAAAGCAGTTTATTTTTCTAATGGTCCTGGAATCGTCGACGCAGCGACAGAGTCGCTCCTGCCGCTCAAAGGGCCCACAAGGAGCTTCCATGGGAGCAGGAGCACGGCTTCCAACCATGGAAAAATCCCATTTTCTGCAGGAAAGAGCTGTGTTCCAGTGCAGAGACCTGGCAGGCCCTGGGGGATGCAGAAACGAGGACAGCTGGGATGTTTTTGGGGTTTTCCAGCAGCAGCATGTTCCGTGTCCACTAACGTTTGATACAGTATGGACTAAACCCACATATCCTGCATTAAACTCAACTACTCCAGCCAATGTTATGAGTATATTTATTTCCTGTTATCCCCCTTTTTATTTAACCTCTATAGAACAGGACAGTTTTATCCCAAGCTCAGCTCCTGCATGGATTTTTATCAGCAACAGCAACTCCCGTCTTTCCTCTCGGAGGCCGAGCTCCGGGAGCTGCTCTGCTGGGATGCAGCCAGCCAGGGGAGAGGGTTTTGTACAATTCTTGTGAAGATGCTTCACATTTCTGTAAAGATAAATGACAATAAAAGAGCTGCATGCAGCAACAGGAGACACTGCTGTCTGATTTTTTCTGTTTTTTTTTTCAGGGATTCTGTTTTAAAAGCCATAGGAAAATGTGGTTGAAGCTCTTCCCAACTTTATTTTTTAACTTTGTTTTCAAAGTCTTTGTGCCCTCTGGCACAAAGGGCCTGGTGTGGTAGAGGAGCTCTTAAAGATTATTTAATTTATTTATTTAATCCTGATTTCATGATTTAATAAATACATTAAATTTTGTAGGTTTGTTTATAAGGTTTGTTTTTTTTAACTGATGTTTAGCCAAGATTCAGTACATGTTCTTCTACCTCCAAACACTTCAAAATTTGTCACTGGCTCCAAAGTTATCAAGATTTTCAGGGAAGATCCCAACATTTCTAGAGCATGCTACCCTCATACACAAAGATTTTAGCTTGGACCTCAAATGCAGGTAAGCAGAGATTGGTTTTATTCAGCATTTTAGGCAAATACTGTAAAAATCTATTTATTTAAAATCCCACAGGAGGACTCAAAAAACATCCCTTAAATAGGGAAGATCATTCTGGTCTGAACATACACGTGAGGAAGCTGGAAGTAAAAGGACACCAGGAAGCCAAGCCCCTGCTAAATTACTTTTTAATTATTGGCTTTAAACCAAACAAATCTGTACCTGGAGAACAAAATCCTCTTGATTTTCCAGGACATCCAAATTGCAATGATTACACCCAAAATAAGGTGATTGTAATGCTCTGCACAAGGGCATTTCAGCCCTTCCCAGCAGTGGATTCTTCACTTTTTCCTCTTGTTCCACCCTCCACAGCAGCAGACACAGAAAAGAAGAGGAAAAAACTCTGCAAAATGAACCAAAATTCATTGAAATGTTTGCCCCAGTTGAGGAAAATTGACTTCTAATATTACAAATTCCTTGAAGCAAAGATAAAAATCTACAGCACTAAAATATGCATTAAAAATAATGGGGTTGGTGTGGCTGGGAAACAAAAAGGAAACCAAATCCAAGAAGGATTTTTTTTTTCTGTAAATTCAGATTTTGTGGTTTTTCCCTGGAAAACAGAGTCAAAAGAAAGAGGTTTTCCTTTGCTAAGATTTCCAGGTAATGCCACAATAATTTGGGAAGGTTTATGGGCTTCAAACCATTCTTTCAAGTGCCTCATTTGAATTTTAACAAACGCTGGATATTGAATATTTCATGATCCCTGCTGCACACTCTTCCCCAGAGGTTTGGGGTTTTTTTCCCCACTACAATAAATGTGTTACTTCCTAACAAGTTCAGAGGGATGGATCAGAAAACTATGACAGGATTTCAGCAGTGAGATAAAAGTGAATTTATATTTAGCACAGACAAGCAAATTAAATCCAGCCTGTAATTTTTACAACAGGAACATACAGCACAGGCTCGAGAAGGAAGGGGCATAAAAATCCAGTTCTGGAATGGCATTTTCCTTAAAAATTTGGGTTAATTTTTTTCAAAGAAGAGCTGAACTCACCACTTGCAGCAGAATAAAAATGCACTTTTTCATAGGTCACAGGAAACTTGAAATCTTCAAACCCTCTAAAACCAAACCAAGCCTTAACAAACCTGCAACAGAAAGCTCAGGGAAATATTTTCTTTTCAGAATAACAAACTTTTAAAAACCTAGAATTATTTTTTCACTTACTGCATGGTAAGAGAAGTCCAATGTCTGTGTGGTAACCTGGATTTAATTGTAAAATTTTCAATGTAATGTGGAAAATACACTAAATTATAGTGGACCATGTGAATATTCCAATTCTGAACTGGCCTGAAGATCTTTATCATATAAAATTTCACTTATCTGAAGCACACAACCCCAAAATACTCCCCAGATTCCTTCAGTTCTGCAGATGAACAGGAGTAAAACGATACCAAATTTCTCCAAAATCTTCTTTTTGGAGCGATGTCCTTGGAGAATCCCAGCACAGCTTCATCCCAAGGATGCTTGGCATGTCCTGAGCCCCAAACCCACCCCCTCAGCCACCTGCCTCTCCCTCAGCTGCTGAAAATTAATTACATTTAACCCCCTAATTAACTGCAAGCCACTTAATTGGATAAGCAGAGCATGGGTGGCAGCTTAGCCCACATCCACAAGGATGCTCCATTCCAGGGGTGGCACCAGCACCAAATTCCCAGGAAAGTCAGCTCAGAGTGAACAGGAGACACCTCATTTGTTGTTATATTTAAACAATAAATAAAATAAAATAAAATAAAATAGAAAGTGAGGGGGTTTGGGGTGGTCTGACACTGCTCTAGCCATCAGTTCTGGGATTTGTGGGGGGAAAAGCAAAAGGAGTGGAAAATCCAAGTCCTGAGAACTCATTCCTGGCATTCCTGCTTCAAAGTACAGCCCCAAACTCCTGGTTGTGGGAGGAGAAACTGCAGAGATCCTCACTCCACTCCCCAGTGCAGTGGGGACAAAAATCAGCTTTATTTCCTTGGCACCCTCAGCCCTCCCGGGGTAGGTGAAGGCCTCCAAAGTTAGTATTTTCCAAATTCAGATTATTTTGGCTTGAACTCTTCCCCCAGCTGAGAGCAGGATGAAAATGGGACAACACCACACCAAGTACAGATGCAAGGAGCACATGGAACAGACAGACTGATGGACAGAGCTGGAGAGACAGAAATTGCACCTGGCAGCACTTTAAAGATGCACATTCTTGGATTTTAGTAAGAAACAGAGAGGGGTCACAGACAGAGCTCCCATTTTTTCCTCCTCCCAGGAAGCACAACTCTGGGAGCAGCTGGAGGAGTTTTTATCTTGTTTGGACAGAGCTGAGAGGGAACAGCCCTGCCTCTAATCCTGGGGAAAACCAACCCAAACAAGCAGCTTAAGCTGTGTTTAATCCCATTTACCTGTGGGGATCCCAGCCCTGGGGCTGAGGGAACAGGGCATTCCCACTTTTCCCTGATTTCAGGGACTCACACTGTGCTCTGGAAGGACAAAACCCCATTTGCCAGGCAGGATTTTTTAGAAGGTATCAGGGTCCAGATCACCTTATTAGGATTTTAGGATTTTATTGTGTCCTTATTAGGATTTTAGGATTTTATTGTGTCCCTATTAGGACATCAGGATTTTCAGTCCTTGGCAGGGAAGGGTTAAAACCACAGGCAGAAATCCTCTGTATTCAGAATTCCATAAATCTAACCCAAACCTCAACACTGAAGTAGAAAATTACCAAAATTCTGCCACTGAGTGACTGCACAGATCAAAGGAGCCCCAGCAGACAGATGCAAGAGTCTGCTGAAATAAATCCTAAACAATTTCCCAATTTCTGAGAGATTTTTGGTCCCATTCTTGCCCACAAAGTTGTTGCAGCTCCCTGCAGGTGAAGCTTTACCAAACAGAACAGCACATCTTTAAAGTGGATTAGTTCTTGGAGGGGATGAGGTGTCACACCAACAAAAGTACACATGAAATAAAAAGGAAATCAGTTAATGATTTTTATTAAATTTCAGTGTTTCATAAAATAAATATGGTTTATAATATCAAACAGTGAGAAATAAAGCACAAGCATGAAAAGCATGGTAACAAAAGTTACACTCATGACGGTGTTTAATACTCAGCACTTTAGAAACCATAAAGCCTTTAATTATTTACAAGCAGCAAACTATCTAACATAATTTACAAAGTTGCAGCAGCCTAGTCAGGGAGTCCTGGAAGGGGAAAAACCACGGAGAGACTGCACTGGAAGACCTTCACTTTGCTCTAGCTACCAGCCCTTTATCCCACCCCTCAGCCCCCCTGTGTACAAGAACTGCACCTTCCATCATCTCCAAGGTCAATAATTACACTGGATTTAGAGCTCAGTTCCTCTCGAGGACACAAATTCAAGTAACACTTCAAAGAAAAGTAAACATGTGCAAACCCACGGCAGAACCTGCAGGAGCTGCAGGTGGTAAGTGTCAGACCCACGGAGCAGGAGCTCGTTAGCAGATTAAATTAATTAGGGAATAGCTACAGAAATCTACCTGGGAACCAGCTGGGGCCAAGAATGAGACATGGGAGTGGTTAAAAATAAAAACAAAAAACAAAACCAAAAAAAAGGAACTGCAAATGTACCCTGTTACCACAGACAAAAATTTAATCTGCCAAAACACAAAGACTTTTAAGGTCATAACTCAAGATTTAATATTTCAACATGAAAAGAAATCCAAGCCATTCGACTTATTTGGGCTTTTGAAACAAATGCAAATGTCTCTGTTTAAAAATTGCTTTCAAATGAGAAAAACAAATCAATATATATTAATATATCACCCAAAATAAAAAACATAACACACTCTTCATTGTAGAGCATGCTGCTCATTCAGAATAAAGACAGGACAAAGAAAGTAGAATTACATTTCATGATGTAATAAAAACATTAAAATCTGTGATCATTAAGTGCACCATCGTACAGGAGTAGCGTGCTCAGAGTGGAAATGTTCTATACCTACCAGCATCCACCTGTATTAAAGCAAACAAATCTTTAGGACACTACCTGAAACTGAAATCAGTAATCACTGGGCTCCATTCAGCTTGCCTTAAGTTTCAGCCAGGCCCATTCCAGCTAGTAGCACCTGTAATGCCTCTTCATGATTGTATTCCAGAGATCTTTTACATCTGTGAACAATTTTTTATATCTGTTTTTTTAGAAAAAGACTGGCTTGCAATGCTTATCCTACACAGATCCTGCAAGTAAACTCTGTTCTGAGCAGCACAAGTTGGGGCTTTTTTCAGAAATCTGAGAGCTGGACTTAGGTTGGCAGTAGGTACAGTACAACAACTGGATGTATTCAACAGTTCCTCAAAAAGGTCTGAAAGGAAGATTTCCCTAAAGACTGTTTAAAAAACCAAACCAAACCCAAAGCACTTCACCCAAGATCTGTTCAATCCTTCTACCCAAGTTCAAGGCTTGCCAACTTTTAAGAACGCCAGGAAAAAGGAGGGAATGAGGTGGAGAGGAAAGAGAATTAAATTATTCCCAATTTGTACCGATGAAAAGCTTCAAGTAAAAGGAAATCCACTTGTTCAAGATCTTGCTACATGCACAGTCCCTCGTCAGCTGAAAGCCACAGTAGTTTTAGCATTGGGTGTAACAGCAGGTTCATCATTCATAAAAAACACTGGCAACGTTCCTTCATCCTCAAGAACTTGCATCCACGGTTCTCTGTCGCGAAGCTTCTTAAAAAATGTCTATGGTTCTGCACATTTCATACCAAACTGGAGGAAAATGGTAAACATGTCTTCTGTCAATGCAATCCCAGTGAGCCAACCTTGTCCCCAGGAGCTGGGTGTCATTTCCGAGTCTGGCTCTTCTTTGGCACCGCGGGTCGCTTGGCCTGCCACAAGTGGTTGTGGATGGTGAGAGCATCCACGCTCACAGACATGGTTTTGGCTGGGATCACGTTAAACTGTTTTCTGTCCGAGCTGTACTTATAGAGTTTATCAATCATTTTCTTGGTGATGCTCTTTGGCCCTGTCCCAGTGAGCTTGTAGATCTCCTCCGTGTCGGGGTAGTAGCAGTAAAGTGCTCGGAACTGGCAGCCGGCGTCGCGGAACAGGATGATGTAGTGGTTGGCATCACATTTCTCCAGCTCCTGCAGCAAAAACAACCAGGTACAGGGGCTGTTCACAGGAGAATCATGCCAAGCTTTAAGCTGAATGGTTCTTTCTATTAACATAATTTTCCAGTTTTTTTTTAAACCTAAAAGCAGAACTCTAAATACGGGATGGTGTTTTCCATGTGGAAAGGAAAAAACGTTCTGTACAGGCACATTCTAGGAAATGGAATTCACACTGCACAGCAGGGGGATCATGAAATCAGCATTACACACCCATGTGATTGAGAGTGCATTAATAATTTTAATGTTTACCTCTAATATTGAGTTCTTATGTGGTTCATTCACTTTTCCAGCAAGACAGCAGTGAGATATAGCGTTGTGAATAATGGGTTTGTTGGATTTGCTGCTGGGTTCCTTAAATAATTTTGGACCTAAGAAAGATAAATAAGTCAAAATTATCTGCCTTACACTTATGAACACTTCATTCAAAGAGAAATAAAGAAAAAAAACCCCTCATTATTTTTCTAGAATTCCTTACTTTTAGAGACACTAAACAGAACAAAATACACCCGATAACTTCTCAAAAATAACAAACATATCAGAGGTTTTCCTGACCTGGTATGAATAATAAATAAATAAAACAAACTAAACAAAAGTAACTAAACTAAAACAAAGCAGCACCTGTGTATTCTGCCACTGAAGCAATAGAAGATGCTGTGGAAGCATTCTCCCAGTCTCTCTCTGTGTTTCTGCTGGGATTTCTGCTCAGAATGGGTAAGGACTCCATTGATTCAACTCTGGGAGGGAGAGAAATAAAAAATATATATGCCAACATGTTTGGGTTTGGCCCTGTAATCTCACATAAATGCTGCTGTCCCTGAATGGAACAGAATATTCTCTTTTTCTCCCCAGAACAGTCAGATTCTCCTTGCTAGAAATCAAAGCAAAACTCTGACTCCTCTGGGAGAAAATAAAACAAAATTGCAAGTTTGTACAGAACGCTGCAGCTGGCAGCCACATAAACCAGATGAATTCAGCAATGCTGATTGTGCTCCTGTGCCAGTGAGGGGAAGCAAAGAGCTCTGAAGCCCAAAACTGTTCCCCCCAGGACAGAGACACCCAAGAGAAGCTGGCTGTACCTCTGCGAGGGAGTGCCACCAGAGTGAACACTTTCAGGCTCAGTTGTTGCTGCTGAGGCCAAAGACAGACTGGAACCAGACTGAGCACTGCTCAAATTATCAGCTAGAAAAAAGCAGAGTAAATGTCAAACACATTTGGTTACAGCAGATTTGAAACTCGGGGAGAGCAAACAAGGCCAGATCCTTACGTGTGGAAGAACACTTCGTGCCTGAATCACTGTAAGATTCCTCACGATGGACTGACTTTGGCCTGGGTTTTTTAGGCTTGGATTTGGGCTTCCCAAGCCCTTGCTCCTCCAAAATTTGCTGCTGTTTTTTCCTCAGATATTCCTGCTTGATGAGCTCCCGCCGAGCCTTCTCCTCCTCCTTCCGTATCCGATCCTCCTCAGCTTTGCGGCTGCCACAGAACACAAGGACAGAGCATTCAGCACGGAACAACTCCTGACCTTCCAAGAAAGAGAAATTCTTTTTCTGTGCATCATTACCGAGCTTCATCCCTTTTCTGCTCCACCTCAGCCTCCAGCTGCTGCTTGCGCAGCCGCGCCTCCTCGGCCTTGCGCTGCTGTTTCAGGAGGAACGCCGCACGTTTCTTGGCCAGCTCATCCTCTGCCTTCTGTTCATCCTGAAAAATCCAAAGGCATGCAAAATTCAAGGAACAGTGGACAATATATTAAGCTGCACATCACAAGAACGCTGATGATTCCAGGAAAATTTGAAGAAAAACTATTACGTTTGGAAATTTTTACATTTTAGTGTAAACCAAAACCTCTTGTTGCTCAAGAAAAAATTAAGAGAGAGTTTTAGTGTTCCCTTAAGTCTGTGAGGAGAAAAAGGGGCTCATCTTACTCTGACTTGTTTTTAAATATCTTTAATTATCACAAAACCTTCTAGACTTGCAAAGTACAACACAACTATGATGTGGGCCAGAATGGACATCGCAAATAATCCCAGTGAATGACAATCAGTCCAAATTAACCACACTACAAAGACCCCTAAATTCCCTGAGATTGAGACGAGTTTGACTTTCTTGAAAGAGAAATTAAAAGAGAAAGTATCATGTCAGCACATTTGTGGTATTGACAATAATCACTGCTAAACACAAATTAAGACATGAAATGTTTTGAGAGCAGATCTCTCTCCTTTTCCAGAAGTAACTGGGTTTTTTTTTCAATACCCAAATACTGCAACCAATAAGGGCTGTGCTCCATCAGGAGCCTGGGAAGCACCAGTTCTAATGCTGGGTGAGTGTGTAACATGAACCAAAGAGAGGAAGGTAACACATTTACCTTGAAGAAAAAACCCACACCAGACTTCTGATCACCTTCACTAATCATATCCGCAGAGCTATCCTGGTTTTCAAGTTCTCCTTCATCTGGAGCTTTCAAGTCAGACAAATCTACTTCAATGAGATTAGCCTTGCTTCTCAGGGGCTCATCCACTGGGACATTTTCTTTTCCTGAGCCATCAGAAGAATTCAACCCTGTTTCCTTGAAGCTGTTATTCACCTCTTTGCTCATTTCAGACAGAATATTTGCGTCTTTGGAGGTGGAGAGAACAAGTGCCCTTTGATTGCTCTCGTCATGAAGTCTATAGGTATCAAAGAAACACTTCTCCTGGGAACCACTTCCATGATCAGGGCTGCCTTCCAGCCCCGCTTCCGTGGGTGTCTTTGCCGAGCTGTTGGGTGGGAAAGGTCTCAAATGTGGAAGGTTTTCTAGGCTGGGTGTTGGGGTTTTAACACGTGCTGAATTCTGCTGCCTGTCCTTGGGGACCTTCAGCTCTGAAGGCCTCCCTGGCCGGGCAGTCCTGCCTTGGCCGAGCCGCGGCGGCTTCCGCAGGCTGTTCATTCCAGTTGGAGACAGGGGCTCAACAAAATGAATCGAAGGTTTCACCTTTTGGTCCTGAGAGTTACTTCTGCTTCCTGGGGATGGCACTGTTGGAGATTTCATGAGCAGCTCCTGCTGCTGGGATATCTTTAAGATGGCCTGCTGCAGGGTGCTGATTGTTTCGTTCAGCTTCTCGATAGAAAGATCACATTCATTGATATCTGCTTCAGTCACGTTGTCTTCTAGGAGGGCAACAGAAATAATGTTACTTTTTTCCAAATCGTGTATAGCAGCAGGGTCTTTTGGTTTGTGTTGCTCAGCAAAAGCCAGGCTTTCCTGCATTTTTACTTTTGCTACTTCTTGAGAATCGTTGAGCATTTCTTCTCTCTCCTCCTCTTTCACAAGGAACTCCTCGGATTTGGAACCCAAAGAAACTTCATCTAAATCTTCCCCATTGTGCCGGGAATATTCTTTTGCAAAATGTTCTGGTTTAAGAGGTTGTGGACCATCAGGAGACTTCCCTTTTTTCACAACATGCAGGAAAGCTGCCTTGCCCAATTTTAATCTCTGCCTTGCTGATAAGGCTTCCATCTTCTTCTTCTGAGCCTCTATGGCCCTGCGCTTCTCTTCCAGCTGCATGTGGAGCTGCACCAGCTCCGAAGCTAAAAGATTAACATTGTCTTTGTTCTGCCTGTTGGGGCTCTGCTCTCGCTTTTGTTTCCACGTGGTCAGGGGTGCTGGGCAGCTTTCTGACCCATCTGGGGTGGTTTTTTGGGAACTGCTGGTGCTGGACTTGGTCTCGTAGCTGTTGAGCCTCTGCAGCTTCCTCTCTGCAAAGCTGGTCATGCGGACACTGCCGCTGGCCATGGACACGCTGCTCACCTGGGAAATGGTGCTCAGGCAGGGGCTGGAGCGGCCGCTGGCGTCGTCCTTGTCCTCGTGCTCCTTCACCTTCATGTCCTCCTGCAGCTTGGCAGATTCCTCCTCACCGATGTACTTAGTGACTATAGGATGGTTGTCTATGGCCACCAAATCCTGGTCGGCATCTTCCATGTCCAGGAGATCTGGCTCGGAGTCCTGCGTCACCATGGTCCAGGTTGTATCCTGAACGTGCAGGCTGAGACCCTTCCCATAACTCACATTGACTTTACTCGTTACCTCATCGTCAGGTTTAGCAGCATGAAGAAAGAATCCTCCAGCGGATAGCTCCTGAGAGGAAGGATCTAAACTGCTACTAGCCAAAGGTCTGGAAGCTTCTATGCCTGCTTCCCCCAGGGCCACTGCATCTGCAGAACTGGGATCTGCAACTGGAGTGAAATCAGAGCTAGAAATTGGAGTAAAAGTCCTGTTGAGGTCATGCTCACCATGACCGCTCGCGGCTTTCTTGCGGACCAAAGACAAGTGTCCTTCATTTAACCTCTTTGTCACAAAACTCCTCTGTTTCCCCTCCCCACACTCATCCTCTTTATTGATGACCTGTTTTTCCTTGGCTGGTTTCAGGACTGCAGGCATTAAAGGCTCCAGGTAAAAACTCTCAGCTTTGCTGTCCGAAGGGTCGCTGTTTGTTTTTGGGGACCACGCTGTGGCCACTATGCTGGGCACCCTGGCTGCTGCATTCTGCACCTCAGGGTCACCACGGTTTGGCCTTTCTTCAGATCTGATGATTGCAATGAGCTCTTCATCTTCATCCTCCATCTCTACGTTGTTCAGCAAGCTCTTCCCGTTAGCTTTCACTGATGGAGGGTGGGGCTGATTTTTGGGGGTTACATTGACAATGTTGGAAGCAAGACTGTCCTTGCTGATGGACCTGGCCAGGCTAATGCTGTCACCAGAGCCAGGGTCCACATCAGTACTGGCAGAATGATGAAGAGCAAATGGTGTTGGCTGAGACAGAGGCCTAGAAAACACAAGAAGAATCTACTAACACTCAAGCATGACAAGGTACAATTTGTTGAAATAAAGACCATGATACAGACAGCAAAAATTGGTGTTTTATTTTTAAAATGCATCCTGTACCACAAGTGACCAGCAATACCAAGCAGCAACTTCAGACACTTCCATTTTCAACAGCACTTGCTGAAAATCACGGCTAACGTATTTTCAATTGCAAATCTAAAAGCAGTCAGCTCTGAAAGTGCACATAAGGAGAAAACAAAATTAAGTGACTGTCAGTGCAGTTCTAGGGCAGTGATACCACATTACCACAACCAAATTGTCCCAGTATCATTTCCTCAAGCAATGCTGTAATAAATAATTACCTGGGTTTCTTCTCTGGCCATGCCAGAACTGCCCCTCGTGGCTGCCCATCAACGCGGGTCAGAGAATTCGAACGGTGCCGATGGCCTGAAATGGTTTTTAATTTTTAACATTTTAGAAATGGTCATTAAACCAGCACTGCTGCCTCATTTAATAGCAAACACAGAAACAGAATCAACTCCTTCCCCAACAGAGGGCAGCAGAAAACAGATTTGCTGCAGCTGCCACCAGACACTGTCAAAGCCTGAAAAAAATTAAAATCCACTAAGTTTCTTAAAAGTTCTTTAAGATTTACTGAAACTCAACATGCTCACCCACTTGTGTTACTGCAGATTAATTAAATTCTGAATAATTTATGTAAATTAACTTATATTTTAATTAATTATTTTATTGGCATTGACAGCCATTGTTTGTTGAAAGGTGAATTCAAGGCAGACTTACCAGGGCTCTCTTCTCCCTGTAAAGATTTTTGTTGCTTTTGCCTCAAAGGCAGCAGTGGATGGGAAGGGCTGAAGGCAGGGCTTCCTCCTTTGCCACTAATTCAGAAAGGCAAAAATTCATTACTACAAAGAATTTTATTTTCTATAAGCAGAAAAAAAATCAAATGGTGAAGTCACACAGGTAAGTTACCCGCATCCTCTTTAAAACATAATATAATGAATTTTTAAGAAGTTCCTTAGCAAGAAGTTTTTCACATGTAACAACACAAAAGTAAACCTATTACCTGAAATTAAACTAAGTTTCTAAATGCAGTAGATTTAAGACAATGCTATGTAAATAGTAAATTCAAGACAAAGCAAAGATTGAAGTAACTTAGAGTTCACCAAGAAATTTATGTCAGCTGAAAACCCATTCCATTAACCACATCAGATCATGCTGAAGTTTGTTTTCACAGAACCCCAGGATGGTTGGGTTGGAAGGAGCCTTAAAGACTCATTTCCATGGACACCTTCCACAAGAGCAGCTTGCTCCAAGCAAGTCCCTGGCCAGCTCTCCTGGAGCCCCTTTGGGTACTCTAAGGTCACTCAGTGGCAAAACGACAACACTCAGCAGCACCAATCCCCAGGTGACCCAAAGAGAGGCACAACAGAAGGTGGAACAAGATGAAGACACACTCACAGGTAGTCAGGCTCCTCGGGGTGCAGGTAGTACCTGCTGCAGGCCTCAGGGGCTGCCTGGGCTGGGGGCTGCAGCTCTGCTGGGCTTGGGCTGGCAGGAGTGGCCAGGAAGCTGCGCTTGGTGGCGTTGGAAATGGGCACAGGGGGCCGGCTGCTCTTCTGCTGCATCACTGCCTTGGCTGGGCACAAAGGGACAGCATCAGCACCTCCCAGAGGGGCCAGGGGAGCACGACAGCACAGCAAGCTCTCACATTGAAGAGGGTACAAGGGAAACTTGGTATGCACTGCAACCTGAAGTATCGGTCTGTATTTAAATAAATTTAAATTTGGTGTTCGGGTGAATTTTGTGTTTTGGTGAGCTTAATGGAAGTTAGAAATTAATAATTAATTAGTGGGTTTAGGAGGGGAAATTACCTGTTCAAAAATTATCCATCCAAAAAGTGGATCTAGGACTAATTTTCCTTCTATTTTACTGCTTTTCAAAGACCCCCAGCAAGAATAAACCTTCCAAGGAAACACCACTAGGGAACAGTTCCACTGCAATGTAAGTATTTTCTAAATAACATGCCATCAGTTATCTGATAAACTTACCATCTTTTATTTCCTGGATATCTCTTGGTTGTACAAAGTCTGGTTTGACATTCTCAAACCACCAGAAGAGTTCTGCAATGAATACCATGACATTAGGCTGAAACAGAAGAAAAGGAAAATTACACCTCACATGAACAAAACCCTCCTGACTTACCCACACTTTATTGAAAAATACATCTTTTGTCATGTTCCTTACCTTTAAAACCAAAGGAGCATACAACATGTCCTCCAAGGTGAGGTAAAAGCATTTGTTCAGGTACTCATTTGAGAACTCTCTCAAGAGCTGAATGTTATAGAGGCTGTCTGCAATTGATGTCACCTCCTTCAAACAGATATCTGGGAAGGAGACAGGGCTGAGTCAGTTCTGGCACTTTCCCAGGGGATCACCCTTCCACCCCCAGCTCACAGGAACACTAAATACAGGAACTTCACAGACTCTACACCAGCACTGGGTGTTTACTGGCTACCAGTGACATTTCTCTACCTGCTCAGAACCACAGGGACAGGAAAAGGAGGAAGAAAACCACAGAGAACAGTATCAGGTCTGCATTCATTTCTGAATCCACAGGGGATTCTGTCTATCACAGCCACAGAAAAGGTAAACAGGCTACAGAGAACACACATAATGACAAAATACAAAAGCAATTAAAACCAGACATCTTGATTTGCATATAATAAAGGGTTACTCCTAGGATTCACAGTGCTGGTTCCTTCTGCAAACACTCAGGAGCTCTGCAAGGTACAACATATCTGAGAATTTAAAAACCAATACAAAATGTTGATTTGCAGAAGTTAATGCAACAAGGACATTGATTTATTAAGAAAAACATTTTCTGGGGAAGAGAACTCGAGTTTTGCAATGCTCAAGAGTGACAATTTCTGCAGATTGAAACTATTTCATAATCTAGATCATAAAATGCCAAGTTATGCCAAGAAAAACATGAGAATTATCAGCTAACACTGGTGGACATGTACTCCATTTTTATGGCATTGAAACCAAGCTCAGTATTTGAGCAAAGAAAGCCACATCTAAAACTAGAAAAGAAAGGATTCTTTTGTGGCTCATAATATACAGAGCACAGTCTTCTAAACACAATAAGTAAAAAAAAAACCAAGATCCAAGAGAGATTCTTTCTAAAATGCAGATTCCATATGTGACCTGCCTCCAACCTGCCATAGTCCTCTACCTATTAAATGTGCTGCATTTTAAATTTTTCATGTATTTCCAGTTCAGCTTTCAAAGCCTGAAAGCCTTTTTTTCCTTTGATTCCCTCAAAACCTTTATTACATACCATCCAGTTTCATTTGCTCTGGACAATAATAGTGAATCACAGCTAGAAGAGCAGCACCATCACTACCATCCTTCATCAGATCTTCCAGCACAGGGAAATAGGGTAACTGCCTGCTGGACAGGTGGTCCCTTCTGTAACGCACCTACAGAGAGAAACAAGGGTTCACATCATGCTGAAGAGGCTAAAAGACAAAAAAAACCAAAAAAGCAAAGAAAAAGGAATCTGTGTTAAGCATTGAAAACTCTTTTCGCTGGATCCTTTCTGCTATTCTGCCCCAAGTCAAACCCAGCTGACAAAGTTGTGCTTTTCTCCCTGTGGAAGCCAATTCTGAAGGAAATGGTGCTTCCCTTTAATCCTAGAATGGTTTGGGTTGGAAGGGACCTTAAAGATCACCTAACCCAAGCCCCTTGCACTAGGGCAGGTTGCTCTCCTGCCATTCAGTCTCCTCATGCCCAGGAGCAATCGCCTGTGGAAGCCAATTCTGAAGGAAATGGTGCTTCCCTTTAATCCTAGAATGGTTTGGGTTGGAAGGGACCTTAAAGATCACCTAACCCAAGCCCCTTGCACTAGGGCAGGTTGCTCTCCTGCCAGTTTCCTCATTCCCAGGAGCAATCTGTGCTGCTGGATTCCTCACTTCATTCACACATTTTAATTTATTGTAATCAATTTAACTCAAAACCCTTCCACACAGATGCATGAATGCAGCAGATCCAAAGAAAGAGACATGGGGAACTACATGAGAACACTTAAAGCTTGGGAGAAACAAAACACAGCAAAAATAATTCTGATGGGCTGGTGGTGATCTCTCATACCTTACTCACATCCATGGATTTCCTGTCCTGCCCACAGACAGCAAAGTTCTCTCAGAGGGAACCAGAACATGGCACACATCTGTGTGCAGCACAGGTGTTGTGCAAAAATAAAAACCACAGCCTTTCCAAAACAGGCAGAGAAGAGGAGGCCTTGACATCCCCAGCACAGCTCCCCTTGATTTACTACTGATCAAAATCAAGCTCTGGTGCAAACCACCCTGCAGCCCTCAGGGAATCTGGAGCTGCCAAAGCCAGTCAGCTGAAGAACAAATCTTGGCATTGCTTCTTGCAAGTTTTGCAAGTTCCAGGGTTGCTGATTCCTGAGCATCCACGCACTATGGGAGGCTGTGTCTAAACTGAGCAGCAAAGCAGGTGGGAAAGGAAGAGCAGAATGCACTGCAGGGCCTGGCAGGAACACCTGGCAGTGCTGGGGAAACATCCCTGGCACACTTCAGGGCATTGACAGCACTGGCATTGAACAGAATCTCTTGTCTGCTGTGCAGACACACCAATCACACACTGAATCACCAGAAGAAAGCTGGGTTTTACCAACATCCTACACTTCCCAAGCCAGCCTGGGAAAGCTCTACACACACACACACACACACACACTCCTAGGTGTCAGTTTAGGATGGCACAGGCTGTGAAAAAATCTGTTCAGAGCAATGAAGATCACTTGGAGCAATGAGAACCAGTTTCTTCTCTTTATTTTGCATATGCTATGCCAAGTTTCCCAAGGAGCTCAAAGCTATCTCTGCATGCTAATGCTATTTTTCCTGTCCTTTTCCCAGGTGCAAATTGGGTTTTTCCCCAGCCTGGAGCACTCCGTGAGGATGGAATGGAATGGAATGGAATCATACTGTACCACACGAGCATATTCCACTGGCTCCAGCATGCAGTGCAACAGGGCATGCATCAGATCAGGCTTACACAGAGAGAAACAGTGAGATACAGCATGGTGATTATTCCAACAAGAAACACATCAAAGGCATCAGCAACATCCACTATGCACTAAAATGTGGTTGGTAAGTCTGGTAGAATAAGTGTGCACACCAAGGGAAACTGGTTAGCTTGAAAGGGTCAGCGTTTATCCACTTAAAGTAAGTATATTAAAAAAAAATTCAGAAATTCTTTTTCCACTTTAATTCCTCCTGTAGTTAATGTAGATAAAAATATTTATTTGCCAATAGGCTTAAATGGAATTTAAATCAACGACAGTCAATACCAAGAACTAAAATCTGTAAAGATTCCTTGTTTCTTTTGGCTTTGGTGAAAAACCCCACAAATTTATCAAAGAGGGTTTTTATGGACTTAATTTAATTCCTTATTTTTTGCTCAGCTGTTATTCTCTTAACCCTTCAGTCTTTTACACAGAAAATTCTGAATTCTTCCTATTTTCTAAGCTGAGTGTTGTGGTTTGTAACCCTCCTGCCCATGCATACAATGAATGACATTTGTATGCAGTAATTGCAGAAATGGTGCTACTGAAATAGAGATCATCCTGTATTAGAAACACCCCAACCAAACAAAAATCACAAAATAAAAAAGCACAGAATTGACAGAACCTGACAACAACACTGAGAGACTGCAAACCCTGCCAGTAAACCATTAAAATCTAAGTGGACTAGAAGTGAGACAACCTTTGTTTACTCCTTCCTTTAATTTTAAAGTTTGTTTTGTTTTTCAAACAAAGGATTAGAAGGCTGCAGTGGGACTGAGCCCTCTGTGGGAAGGCAGAGAGATCATGGGAGGCTGCCTGATCACACCTGCCTTGTCCAAGTGCTCTGCCCTTTGGAATTAACAACTGAGACAACAGCTCATCTTCCCAGAGAGAAAATGAGTAACACCAGCTCCTGCAAGGGCAGGAGAAAGGGCATCAAAGCTGAGGAAAGGAACAAAGGAAAATCTCTGCAAGTTGAAATAAACTCAGAAAACTCTGACAAAAGAAAGCAGGATTTCTAAAAGAACAATTTTGTTGTTTTGGGTTGGGTTTTTTTTAATATGTAGTGGAATTGATATTCCAATTTCACACTTTAGCAAAGTTTGCACATTGGAACAAAATACTGATTTTTCTGTTTCCCTCCCACTGTGCCAGCTCCAGACTCCCTAACTGAGCACACAATCCCACCAAACTGTCCCACCACACTGGGCTGGCCAAGCTCCTACCCCACCTCAGAGAACAGCAGTGCCCTGGCTCTGGCAGATTCACAAATCTGCACCAGAGCAGGTGCAGGAGCAGTGTAAGAGCATTATTTAAGCACAAACATCTGAGTATCTTAACCATGGATTCCAAGATTAGGCAGCCCTTTAAGCCCCCCAGCTTTTCTCTCACCTCATGCTGTCATCAGTTCCTACTCACAACCAAAGCCAGCAAATGCAACCATTTCATGGTCATTTGCTATTTTTTTTAATTGCTACTCCCCCTCCCTGACTCCTGCAGTGTGGAAGCAGTTTTGAGATGCTGCAAAGGGAGTATGCTGTGTGCTGTACAGTATGCAAAAAGCAGGGCATGGAAACAAAGCCTGATGACCCCAAAGCTCACACAGGTGTTTCTCAAAGAGCAGCTGGGAAGCATTGCAATGGAAGCAAACACTCTGAGGAAGTTTAAAAAGCCATGATTTTGTGGATGACAACTGGTGTAAAAGTAGTTCACTTACAGGTACTAATTTCCAATACCATTTGGAAGGAGACTGCTCAGGAAGCAAGGAAAGGAACGTAGGAATAGGAGAGGAACATCAGCAATGCAAGTTAAAAGCAGTAATACTTAAATGCACTTCAGCAATAAACACTTTCATATTTCAGAGGGCTTGTAGCCTAGAAATTGAGATTTAAAGATACTAAATGAGACCCAATAAGGTCAAATAATTCAAGAGATCCTTTAGAGCACAGATCAACTTGTAAATGAAGCAGATCTTTTTTGATGAAGGATATTATTTTCCATAAAAGGCACATAAAAAACCTTCACCACTAACATGAAAATTAAACTGTGCCTTGTTCATAGGTCACACTTTGAGCCCTCTGACTAGTAATGCCAATTTGAGGAAAGAATATGTTATTAGTAATTTAAGGTTTTATGAAATCACAAATTGGGAGTTCAGATAGACATTATGTTGGAGAAAGACCTATTTGACCTTCTCCAGAAATGAAAGTGTGCTATATTTTGCAATATTAGTGCATTGTAATATAACTTCAAGGGAAAAAGCTGGAAAAAACTACAAACACACACATATAACATTTGAATGCCAAGAGTATCCTTCCTGGACAGAACCTGAATAAGTCCCTAAATACACACTGGACAAATAACATGCAAAAAGAACATGCCCCAAGAGCTTTCAAAATATATAAGATATATTTTGTGCTGTGAAAGCTGAGTCATATTTACCCACATACAGTTGATACAGGTTATTTTAGTTGAAACAAGTTGTTTTCATCCTACTGAAAGTTAAAGGAAAATCAGGAGATACCAGAGGGCTTCAAAGGCAGGGAAGGGCACTGATGACAGAGACAAAACAAAGTGCATGCAGAAAATCTCACTTTTGAGGATTGGAGCCCTCACACTTCCCTGACAAAGAAAATACTGATATTTAAATCCATTCATCATCAACACATAATATCACAAGTGAAGACAAATTTGTTTTACCTTTTGATGCCCTGGACTTTCCATTAGTTGTTGTTTTAATTTAATCTCTTTCTCTGTTATCTCTCTCATTTTAAGGTTCACCTAAAAGGGCATGGCATGGAAAATTAATTAAAATACACCTGGATATGTTTCCACAAGTGTCCTTCTTGCTCCAGTTACTTAATAGTTAATTCATGCTACAAACATAAAAAGTTCACAGAAAAGCATGGTACAGCAGTTTTCTAGCCCAAGTCTCTATTAGCAGGAGCTGAAATCACAGTCCTGGGTTTGCAAGGACACATTCTCTTTGGAATGTGACTCTTGTCACTCAAAAGCATTAGAGTAACTTAACTGCTGCCCTTGGAAAAATTCCAGCATTTCTGTTAAATGTTCCACCTAGTCAGGGTTAAGTCCATCCTCTTATTTAGCATGACACAGGGCTTCACCTAAAAAAACCCCACCAACTAAAAAAACACCTCATAGCAACTTGTCTGAAAAGAAAGAATCCAATGTTTACACTTTTTCTAACTTAGTTCCTGATTATCTTGTTTATTTTTAAATTTACCAACTTTATCCTTCCCTAAGAAAAACAAGTTGCTAAAGTAGAAGGGATGGTAGAAATGCACAAGTAAGAAAGGAAGACACGCATCAGAATCCATTTTGGAAATCTGAAAGGTGACAAGAAAAGACAGGCAGGCTTTTCCCAAAGTAAATTTTACCTTGTTAATCCAGAAAACCATGGCATCCTCCAAATCATAGGGCAGTTCTTTTGAGGCACTGAATGTAGAGAAACGCTTGACACTGGCAACCACCTTCTCAATGCTGATCATTTCTACAGTGTAGGCCATCATAAGAGCATCAATCATTGCCATATGAGAACTCTGGAAGAAGAAACCAGAGAGGACTGGAAAATCAAATCCCTTTTAAAAAGGGTATGTTCTAACTGTATGTTCTAACTGTATTTAAACCAAAACATTCCTAAGGTTAACGACCTAGAAATTAAGAGCTCTTCACTCCATTTACTATTTTAAATAGCGTTAAATAAAAAGCAGATGATTAGGTGGATTTAATTAAGCTAACCATTTTGATTGGTGCAGAGCCCAGATCAGATTCAGACACAGGTGTATCATCGCTCTCCATGACGTAAATCCCCTTCCGAGCCAGCGCCTGGATCACGGACTGGTGTCCCTGCAGAGCAGCCACCTGATCCCCCTTGAGGATGAGGCTGCACACGCGGCAGTAGAGCTCGCTGGAGAGCAGCAGTTTGATCACAGGGGGTTTGATGTGCTCCTGCTCGTACTGGTCGATGTAGAACGGGTCCTTCAGCTCCTCCGGGACGTTGTCTGCAAGAGCCGAGAACAGCGACACGTGGCTGGGCACCAGCAGTGAGCAATCCCAGCTGTTAGTGGGAGTCGTGTTTGATTTGGGATTGTCACTGGTACGTCACAGGTTAAAATCAGAGGGGTAAGGTTTATCCATATGGGCTGTTAGTGGGAGTCGTGTTTGATTTGGGATTGTCACTGGTACGTCACAGGGTTCAAATCAGAGGGGTAAGGTTTATCCATATCATCAAAGTAAAATCCCAAAGCATCCGTGCACAGCAAATGGACACCTGCAAGGCTCCGTCACCAGTCTCAAAAACAAGGCACCAATTTTTTCATGGATTTTGGCAATTCAGAAGGAAAAGACCAAAATATCTGACTAAAACCTTGAACATTTTACAAATCAGCCAGTGAGCTGATGATCTATTTTTTGTCAAGAGCATTGATCAAACTCTTGCAGCTTTCAGCCTTTAAATAATTCAAGCCTAGGAAGCAAAACCACTCCATTTGGATTAAGCAGGAATTTTAAACCAAGCCTAAAATTGAACTTCTTTTGCCTTGGCCCAATTTCCACAAGTTGTGTTAGGATTTTATCAAACTGAGTCTAGACCCTGAGTGTAGTAATTTAGAAGCTAAAATTAGCAAGACAGAAGGCCTCACCCTTGCACACCAGCAGCCATAAACACATTTTTACTACTCCCAGCACAGCTCAGAGCTGGCAGGAGAGGAAGGCACTAACAACAACCAATATTCCAATCACTCTAAATATGTCCAAGACATCTCAAATCCATCCCTTGCTCTATATCCCAAAATAAATCCTTCTCCTCGTGTTGGGTAATCAGCCTGGAAGCTATTGATCTTTATAACAACCCAGCAGGAATAATGAGAGTCTGCAACTCCAAGAAAAATATTTCCTAGCCTCAAGTGTATTGTCTTAATAGAAGCTGACATTTCCTAAATTTCAAACATAAAATTCTATCTGATGCTATCCAGTCACTCCGAATATCTTTCCCCAAAGTCACTTAAACAGTTCATTTTAAATATATACATCTACACTTAAAAGAAGTATTAATTTGGCAGCATATTTACTTTTCATTCAGCTCATTTCCAGAATAATTAAATTTTCCCATTCCAAGAAACTCCTACCCATATCTTTGAGCTGCAAAATAAGCCACACAATATTTGTATACTGCAGAGCACTTGATGTTCATGAAGAAGGATGGAGACAGAGTGTTATTGCATGAGCTGCATGTACATCTCACTTAGATAAAAATATGCAGCAAACCAGTGCTGTCTAACAGCTCCTGTCAGTCACACAGTGCTGGCCCTCTTTTTCAAAATGGGAAGCAAGTTGAAAAAGCTTTCTGAAGTTTTTTAAAACTGAGATAATGATTTTTCCTTTCTGTGACACTGAATGTGACTTTCCACTGAAGATGGCTGGAAGAGACACAATAAAACCCACTGGCACTACCTAAGTGGCATTTGTTAACATGGCTGTCCATTTTTAGTGAAACACATCATAAATTCAGATATTTTTAATCTTCTTAACATTAGTCAACCTGACCTAAAATCAAAGGCTGTTGGAAGCTCATTCCAGTTATGGAATGGCCATTTCCATTTCCAGATAGAGAACTCCAGACAGAGCTTCCATCTCTGAAGACTGAGGAAAGATGCAAAAATCCAAATGCAAAGCAGCTCATATAATTCAACATTTTAGTTCATTACAAGCTGCTACACCTTTAACAACCAAAGACACGTTGCTTTGTACTAGAATTATTTGTGAAAGGAAATAATACAAGCTCATAAAATATCCATGAAGTTGTACATCTCTGGCAGAGCATGAGCACCACTCCAAATTTTAAAGGCTTTTTTTAAAGCAACACAAAACAAATGCAAATTCCAAAAGTCTGCAATCTGAAGCACTTGGATGAGGGGTTTGTTTGGTTCCAACACCTGCTCTCCATCAGCTCAGGAACTGAGGTGATGCCTGGAATTGGGCTGGAATGGTGGACAAGACCCTGAAATCCCTCCCGCCCCACAGTTTGGGTTTTCCTGGGGATTTTCCCTTCTCCACAAGGTGGAGAGACTGGGATTATTTTACAGACTGTTACCACAGCAAGGAAAAAGGTTTCTCTGCAGCACTGACACGCCCAGGAGGGAAGCAATCTGTAGGATTGGGGTCTGTACACACATTAGTGACCCAGGAGAGGCCATGGAGCTGAGCCCCCCTGTGACAGGGGCAGGCAGACCTCCCACATCAATTTCTGATTAAATCAGCTCCATTTCAATGATTTTTAAAAGCCTTTTCTAGCACTAAATGGATCTAGTTCTTAGTGAGGAGATTCCATGTCACAGAAATCAATATGTTAAAAAAACCACAAACCCAAACAAACAACCCAAAACACACAAACAAGAAAGAAGAAAAAAACTCCCAACTTGTATTGTGTCATTCAATCTGAAAGTCCAGTCAAGAAAGCTGAAATCTTTTTCTTTTATACTGAAAAATCCTCTAATTTCATGTTTCTGATCTCCATATAACTGCCTAAGCACTGAATGGATTTGGATTGACCAGGATTAAGGGTAGGGCTGGGTGAGAATAACTTTTAGTACCAGGATTAATAATTTGACTTCCTACTATCACAGGAAGTTATTCATCAAGATTAATCCTCCCACAATTGCAATTTATTTCATTGTAAAAACTTGCCCAGGTTTATTTTTTACATTAGTACATAGAACACTTCTGCCTGTCACACATAGGAACAGTTTTGTAGCTGATTTATGTCCTGACTAATAATCTACAAAAAAAAATTAAGATCTAAAAACCACATCAAAGCTCAAGAGTGACAATGCTAACTTTACTATTTCAAATTTATTTCATGCTGGACATAATGGCAGGCACAAATAAATGAGAAATAAATGGCAGGAAAACTTGCAATGCAAACAGGATGCTAAATAAGTGTATAATTCTGAGTTGGGAAACTTCCAAATGGAATTGATGTCCTGTACTCAATGCAGTTGTCTTAAATGGGGTAACACAGAACAGACAAAAAAGGGCTTTAATTGAGAGGTGTCTTCAATATCTGAAATCTGCATCTGAAAGTGGAACTGAAGACACTGATCTTACCTTTCACACCTGTTAATTATCCTTACCACAGAAAACACCCGCAGCACCCAGGGCTGCTCCTTCTCCAATCCCCTTAAAAATGACAGAATTCCCACAGAGGCAGAAATCCCAGGAATACCTGGTCACTTTTAGAACCACTACACCCCCTCAGATTTACCCAGGGCTAATTTAAATCCCACCCCATGGACACACAGGCAGCCCCTGCTAGCATGGACAGCTTTTCTCCCCACTTTTATGGATCAGACAAACAGAGGTGTCACAGGCTTTGTGCCTGTCTCACTGCACAGGGTGCCAAGGCTCTTTGGGAAGAAAATGTCCCAGGCTTTCCAAGCCCCAGTTTCCATCAGCATCTTTTCCAGCACCTTCTTTCCATGACCTATAACTGAGCTTGGAGGTTAGAAAAGTTCTGCTCATTAAAACTTGAATTTTTACACATTTATGCCTTGGATTTTGGAGAAGACCAACAGAAAAAATTAACTTCTGAGAAATTAACACCTAAGTTGTAGCTACAAAAATTTCTGCTCAAGCAGTTTAACAAATAATACTAAAGAAAACCAAATTAAATCATGTCCTTATTTTTTTCTTATAAAGAAGCCTCCAATACAATTTTTTCATTCAGCCATTCTTTTGGTCTGTTCCATGGTATCAATGAGTTCTAATATCTCAAAAACTGTCAGTTCTGAGTATAAATCTTAAGTACAAAATATCCTTGAGAGGATTACAAAAATAGACTTACAACTACTGTCAGAGAGACAATTATTGCCAGACTCTCCTTGCTTCAGGGGAGGGAGCATTTCTTTATCATCTCCCTTACAAAAACCTGTTCAAAGACAACCACCTGATTCTGACTTGATAAAGAAAAATACAGTAATCTGAACAAATTTGACTTATCCCTTGAACTGCCGGGGTGGATCCACCCCAGATGTTATTTTACCTGCAGAAGCACGAAGAACTGGTTTCACCTGGAAAGGGAGCCAAGCTGTCCTGGTAAACAGCACCAAGCTTATTCAGATTCTGAGTAGGATTTCATTAGTATCAGTATCTGCTCCCAGAATTATTCAGCACTGGGTGAATGGCCAGGCTGAGCACAAACTCCACCTTCTCAGCACTAAAACCACCAGCATATAAACATTCTGTGTTGGTTCTCATTACAGCACTGAATTTTAAAGCCTGTAAGTGATCTGTAACAGGACACATGGAGATTTACATACAACAGGCAGGAAAACCCCAAGCTAAAGGCTTTGCAAACTGCTGGGAGAGTGACTGCACTTATTACCATATCTTTTGATCAAGGATAAAGCCACAATCCTGGATAAAGCAGGAGACAAAATAACAATTATGGAATCCTTCACCCCTGTAAACTTCACACAATAATACTCAGTGTTTATGAAACAGGTGCTATTCAAGAAACAAATGTTTAATTTTGCTAAACACAACGGCTTTCTTAAAAGGATTTTTACTACGAGCCTGAGAAGAAAGCTGACAAAAGACAAGCAGGGAATCCAGGGATTTAGGGAATTTAGCCTAGGAAACATCCTCACACTGCCTCTACCAACTGGTAACTGTGGGGTGTTATTACAGCACTGTAAAACCTTATTTAGCAAGCGAGTTCTAAGTATTCAAAGACCAAAAAACCCAAACTTGCATTCCCCCCCAATGCATTCCATTAGTCCTTGGCTTTCCTGCCTGCATCTTGCCAAAGGTTTCAGGCTACTGTCAGCATTAAGTCTGGAAACTATGTAAAGCTCCCAGCCCTGATAAATAAGTAAAACCCATCAGGTCCCTTTTGAAAAATCCAAATTTTGCACACTGTTTTACAGAACCAACAATATCTGCTATGGAAAGGGCTGGACAGAAGCCACTGCTCACAGCAAGCTGCAACACTGAGACACTTCCAGATCCTTCAATACCTAAATTTCCATATTACAGCCATGATGATGGAAAACATCATTTCCACACATAAATTAGTGCCACATGAAATAGGATGAGAAATCAGGATTTGTCATTGTCATTGTCCCTTTTCCCAAGTGGTACCAAATGAAACCATCCTGAGTTTGTTCTGTCCAGCTGCTGCTGGACAGAGCCCCAGGGCTCAGTGCACTTCCCACTGCTGTGCATGGCCTCATTCCTGCCTGGCAATCTGGATCTCTCCAAGCCCTGTGGAAAAGTGATCTCCCCATGCAGGGCTTGCCAAGGCTCCCAGCCCTCCCACGCTCACCCTCTGCAGCTGAAGCTCCCCACACTCAGTGGCAGCTTTGCTCCTCAACCTTTTAAACACCAGGAATTTGAATTCCCTGAAGTGGCTGTTTGGTTCTCATCAAAGTTTGAGGATGAAAAAAGCTAATTCTGGTCTAATTAAAATCCATTTTCTCAAACCACTGTCTCAGATAAAAGGCCTGAAATCTTTCCAGGCTACAGAAGGTTTCCAGATGAGCTCAGAGTGAGAGTGATCCATGTCAGTACTCCCAGATTTATTTGGGGAGATGGATGACAGTGAATGGAGAAAACCTTCCTTCATGACATCCTTCCCCTCTGCTTTCTGGAATCCAGACAAACAGTTGTAGGACCTCCCTCTGGAGCCCATCTGTGCCAGCCAGGAGCTGCAGGTTTCCAGGAGCAAACCATCCAGCCCAGCTACTGAGCAAGAAGAGGAGCTGTCTTGCAGTGTTTGTGTAGCTGCTCAGTTGTTTGGCTACCAACATTCTCTTTTCATGGCCAGAAGGTTAAAAAAAGAAAAGAAAAAAAAAGGAGGACACCATCATCTTGTATCACCAAATAAAACAAAGCCCAAGCTAGGACTTCAAAGTATTTATCATGCATGCTCCCAGTGATTTGTCCTTGAGGAAAAAAAAGCAAAGGATGAAGAATTTTCCTGTTTAAATACCAGCTTAGAATTCAAATATCCTTTAACAGCAAAGAGAAAATACAGTTGCAGGTAGAACCTGCAGTGATGAATGACTTTCAGTAAGAGTCTACACCAGCATCAAATCCTGTTCTTGACCCTTTCCACTCTTCACCACGAGCTCAACCTTACCAGATGAAAATGAAATGCACCAGAATTTGAAGGATTAAGGCACAAAATTACATCAATTCATAAATCAAATCCAAATCTAATATTTCAGAAAAATGTTAATTCACTTGAAGGCAGTTATGGAGACCTGGCAAGATTTACTTCAGAACAAAAGTGTTTTAATGTTACAAACAGATAAGCTTTATTTTTCACTAAATTACCCAGAAATACATCTAAAATAATAAAAAGTTCTCAAACCCTTTAATCTGCATAGTGAGATTTTAAATAATAAAATCACAATTGATTGTAGCTGCCCAAGACTCACTAAACAGCATCCAATATCTTAAAACTAAAACACAGCCCTGAGAGATGACAAGTAATGTGTTAAATTTAAGTATTATTCAAAATTATAATCACACAGGAAACCTTCTTAAACCCATCTTTCCATGAATTAAAGAGGCTTATAAATTTCTAGGATTGTGCAATGCTATTCCAGCAGTAATGGCTAACATGTGACAGAGACTTGCAGGAGCCATTTCAAAAATCAAACTACATTTCCACGGGCCACAGTCCTGCTAAAACACACACAGACACCAATCCTCACTCACTGGGGGAAAAATGACTTTTTCCTATTGTTTGTGACATTTAAACTGCTGTTCTTTGTAATCTGAACAAGCCTAAATGCAAGGAGAACAACTGGCAGAGGCTGCTGCAGCCAGAGATCCCAGCCCTGCCGTGGGAAAAGCTGATCCTTTTTAGCTTTTAGTCACAGGAAAGCCAAATACTTTTACAACCTGTGTTGTCAGGAGCATAAACAGACTTGCCATTAAGCAATTAACTGGTCCAAGAGGTTCAGACAGAGCCCTGAGTGCTGGAGCAGACAGCACCCAGCAGCACGAGGCCACTGAGCTCTCTCTGCAGCGTAGGATCCGTGCCAGTCCCTTCCCATTTAGGACCGGCCTTCCTTGGAAACAAAGTCACAATAAAAACAGTGCATCCCCAGCTCTGAACAACTCTTTTATCAGGGATGGCTAAAAAGTTGCAGGAAATGTTACAAACAATCCCAGCAACTGAGAAATATTTACATCAGGAAGTGCCTGTTCTGTTCTTTTAAGTTATCAATGTTCCACTGACACCCTCCCCAGATTCCCACATTTCATCTGATCCGTGGGGTTTTCTTGCCTCTTGTTGCTTGTAACAAAATACATTAAACACTGTAAACCCCATGATTATTTTTTTTGGTCCACAATCACCAGGATGAGGGAGACACTGAAAGGGCTGGAAATGTTTAAGAAGTAAAATAATTTATAAAAAATATTCCAGCAAGGATTAATATTTAATGGCAGGAATGGACCACTTTTCTTCAGCCTTGTCACCAAGTAAGCCAGTGCTAATCCATTAAGCATATTATGAGTTTGGAGAATTAGACTTAGATTAACAGGGCCACCTCATTTTCCAAAACAAGACTCTATACATGCTTTTATTATATCTTTTGTTCTGGATAAAACAGACCCACTAGCACTGCATCCTATTTCTTCATAATGAAGCTGCTTAAACTGGAGATGCATCTTGTACATTGAGACAGATCCAGTTCAAAACAAAAAAGTCTTTTTCAATAGCTGCCAGGAAAACACTGTACAAATATACTCCAAGAATATTTATTTTTCCACATTTGACAGTAAAAGTTTATGACAATGTGAGGGAAGGAAGAACTCCTCTATCCCCTACAACCTGCTCTTTAATGTCACAGTGCCCAAACTACACCTGCTCATTCAACATTTCTTTCCACAAAAGAAAAATGCTGCTGAACAGAAAGAGATTATTTTTTACAACATTTTGGATGTAAAATCATAATCTGATATAAAAGAAGTTCTAACTGAGCATTCACAGGGTGTCAATGTCCCAGCATCTACTGGCCAAGATGACCAGACAAGGAAGGATCTAAAGCCTGGAGGGACCTGGGGCCTGCAAGCAGTGACATAAAGCCCTGTGGAACAAAGTCTGCTTAGCTAAAGCAAGGATTTAAACATTTTAAGGCAGGCAGTTCTTGCCAAGCACCATCTGGGAGCGTTCACCATTAGGTTTGCTGATTCAGGGCATCTCACACAATCCCGTTATTCCTGTTTAAGGTACCAGCAAAGACACGGTATTATAGGAGAATAGGCTGCCATATTATTGATATTTAAAACAAAGCCAAATTTAATTACTCCTGAAACAGCAGGGGAGACAGAAAAAGCAAGAACAAAATCAAGAATGACTTCTTGACAGAGGTGATCTTACCTATTCCGTAGGCTTTAGCACAGATCCATTGTAGATTAGCAGCTATTTTTGCTCTGGCTGAATCATAGAGCTCCAAAGGGACAATCTCAACTGCACTATCTGCCAGAGCATCCATTTTTCTTCTGGTACTATCTCCACCCGCACAAACATCAACATCCACCATCTAAAACAAAAACAAAAGGCAGAGACTTTCACACCAGCCGACGATTCCAAAGCCACACAGGAGAGGGGCTGGCCAGGCTGCACACAACAGGCCCGACATCCTCGGGGATTCCCATCGGGAAGGGCTGATGCAGCTCGGGAATCAAAAGGCATCGGAGCCCGGGGCGAGCATCCCTTATTGTCAAGGGCAGGGCCCGGCTCGGCAGCGGAGAAGGGCGCAGCCCCGTCACCTGCCGACGGGATAAAGGCAGCACGGGGCTCTCCGGAACAATGCGGGCAGGTACCGCCGCCCCCTCCCCGCCCGCGGGGCCGCGCCGGGGCAGGGCCGGGGCAGCACCTGCGGCTCCTTCCCCCGCCGCGCCCCCGAGAAGCAGCAGAGGCTCCGCGCCCGCACGCCCATGGCCGGCCC